CCGACAATTGCATGGCCGTCAAAGGCGTGTTTAAGAAAAGTCCATTCCTTTTCCCCATATTATAGATTTCCTTTCTTCTCATTGCAATATACTTTATCCCTTTATTATCCTATTTCGTACCATTACTTTCCTATATGGGTTACATGTTGGATTTGCCTACTAGTCAACTACCAGTGGAAAAGGGTTGTATCGCTTGTGTAGTGGCCTCTAGTCTCCATCCAATATCCACATAAATAAAAATCCAGGTTATCGATGAAGCACTGGTACATCATAAGAAACATACTGGGTGCGTTGCCAAGGCAGCGTTATTAGTAAAGTGTATATTGTTGTGGTTGCCATGTGTTCCCAATTGGCAACTGAATGACGGATCTGAGCCAATGTCGTTGTGAATGAGTCTGAATGCTGGTGAATGTTGTTGTCTGGTAGGGCTGATGGGTTTGTTGTAGCGAATGTGGGTAAGAAAGAGTGGTAGCAGGTTATGTTGGGTGGGGCACTTTGGAGGTTTCGGTTAAAGTGAAATTGAAAGGCCGCTCTTTTTGGAAGAAAAATTCAAGCCTTGCTTACAAGAAGGGTGGAAAGAAGAATGGCCATAATCTGAGAGAGGATCAGATTAACCAAATTATGATCCGTGTGTCACGAGCCGAGCCCTATAGATCCATTGCCAAGGATTTCCAGATCTCGATCGGTGCCATATCGTACCTCGCCAAAAAGCATAAATCTGGAAGAGGCATCATCCCCAAGCCAAAGGGAGGATCGGACCCAATGATCACAGAAGACGGTGATCATCTTATTCGCCAATGTGTGAGGGATAACAACACGACCACACTGAGACAAATTCAGGATAGCTACCAAAGGCAGATCGGTGTTTTGCTATCGATCTCTACCATCCAAAGGCACCTTGATCGTATTGGTATCACATTGAAGCGTGCTAGTAGATATCCTGAAAAGCATAATTATGAGGAGATCAAAGATGAACGTCAAGCATACGTCAAACGCCTTGTTGATAAAGAAGGTGTTGAAGATGAATACAGGGCGTTTAGCTATATGCATAATTGCGTCTTCATTGACGAGGCTGCTTTCAACAGCAGCATGAGACGTAATTATGCCTGGTCTCGAGCTGGAACACCGGCGCATGTGCAGGTACCCAAAAGCCGTGCAGTCTCAGTCTCCCTTTTGGCAGCTATCACTAGCTCTGGATTGGTTGAAGCTGCCATCAAAGTCAACCCTGATGCTCGTCAAAAGGGTGATAAAAAAGGCAAAACCAAGGCTAAGCCGAAGAAGAAGTCCAGCAAAAAGAATGATGATGATGATGATTATGAAGAAGTGGAAAATGTTGCAAAGGAGAAGTTCAACAAGAACACAACTGGGTAAGCTGAAGGTTGTTATTGTGCATTTCACCAATAACTAGACTGACGAGTTTTCCTGTAGTGCTGATTTCTTGGCTTTCCTTGAGAAAGGTGATGGATGCTTTAGATGAAGAGGGTCGACATGGGTGGTATCTAGTTTTCGACAATGCTGCCATCCATAAGCCCGCTTACATCAATGACGCAGTCGAGAGCCGTGGTTTCCATGTAGTACCTTCCTCGTTATTCGCCATTCACTTAATCCCATTGAGGAATTCTTTTCAAAGGTATCTTTTCTTTGTCATGACTTTTTATTTGCATCGCACATTTGCATTGCATCTAATAATAACACGCGTCTAAAAGATGAAAACGAAATTTCGAAACGAATATGAGGGTAATAGCATGGAGCAAGACATGGCAGACCGTTTGTCAGAGGCGATGTCTTACCATCCAATCTGACTATGAGGGCTGGGTGAAGTATGCAACTACGTTTTCCTCCTCTTGTCGAGACCGGCAAAACATCGCTTCCTTTGATGACGACTTGTAAATAGAATCCATCATGCACGATAATGTTATGCGTTTGAGTGTTGTATTTTCATGTGGTTGTTGCAGCGATGATACTCTCTAAGACTCTTTATCCTCTAACATCGTGTAGTCTAGCTGTTTTGCAGGTTGTGTATTGGTCATGTATTCATTATCGCATATGCCATCATGTATCATAAGCTGGTAGTAATCCGATCCATCCCATTTATTGCCATCCAACATGCACATGTATAGTTCTATATATGAAATGCTGTATCATCATTTTCTACGATGCTGGCAGGTCTTGTATGGCTTGGTAATCGTGCAACAGAGTGATACGCAAAACGAAACGAGTCGAGGCAGTTGCTGTATCGTCGTGTCCAACTCACTCGCCAGCTGTGCTAGTGAAATTGCACATAACTGTACCAGATTGCCTTTTCATACCATGCCGTGGTCGATGTGTGTAATGGCAATGTCGTTGCTTGTTGTGATTCGTAAGAGAAAAGAAAAGGGTTGCGTTAACAGGACAAACAAAACAGCACGTCTTTCCCAAACATCCTTCTCGCCTTTGTACTCTGCAGTAACGCCTTCCCAACACATGTAGTATGTCAACCAATCCACAGCGATGACTCAATTGAATGCAGCTTGCAAGATGAAGAAGCGGAACAAGGAAGAGGAGCACAAGCAGTATACGTGAGGGACCCACTTTTTATGTGCCGGAGCGGACCTGTTGCATCATGCATACAGCGTGTTTGCTAGTTGCTCACCCAATAGTCCATTAGCATCCATCGTTATCCTCTCACCCTTCATGTTATCTCCTTCTCCTACCATCTTTATTTCACCCACCACCATCATTCTCTTGCCAACCCACCAACATTACGACGCCCGCCAATCAAAATTACTTCTCCACCCACCATCTTTAATCCACCCTCCATCATCTTTATTTCCCAACCCACCAACATTATGCGCCCGCCAATCAAAATTATTCCTCCACCCGCCATCTTTATTTCACTCGCCGCCATTTTCTTCTGCCAACCCACCAACATTACAACGCCCGCCAATCAAAATTATGTCTCCACCATCCATCTTTATTTCACTCGCCGCCATTATTCTTCTGCCAACCCACCAACTTTATCTCGCCACCCTCCAAAATAAAAGTGCTTGTTCACCAAAATTACTTTGCCAACGTCCAACAATAAATCTCTTCGTCACCAAAATTCCCTTTTCATGTTGAACTTTCACTGCAATCTACTGTATCGAAGAAGGATGATCTTTAAGGCTTTGTGTTGATTATCGTCGGCTTAACACGATCACCGTGTATGATCATTTCCCATTGCCCTATTGATGAATTGGTGGATTCCAGGTAGTGCACAATACCTTTCTACGCTTCGGCGCTGCATCCGGTTATCGGCAGGTGCCCATGCATGCAGATTCGATAAGGAAGACTGGTTTTGTTGTTAAGTATGCGCCCTTGATTGGTGCGTGTTGCCATTTGGATTGAGTACAGCTCCAGTAACTTTCCAATGATTGATGACTCGCATCTTGCAACCGTTATTGGGAAATGTGTGCAAGTATTCATCGACGACATCATTGTGTATTCAAGAACATTAGAGGAACATGTACAACATTTGGAGCGTGTATTTGGGATATGCAAGGAGGCGAATCTACGTATCAAGTTGGCGAAGTGTTCATTTTGCAAGTGACAACGTGGAATACTTGGGTCATCAAATCACAAGACAGATTGAAACCAACAGACCGCAACGTTAAGAAGGTTTTGGATATGACAGCTCCAAAGAACAAGAGTGAGGTGCGATCCTTTTTGGGCATGGTGGGCTATTTATCCAAGGTTTATTCCAGCTTTTGCGGAGAAGTCACATGCTATACAACAACTTTAATAAGGAACAAGGTGGATTTTATTTGGGGCGATGAGCAAGAAGCGGCATTCAAGGCGTTGAAGGAAGCGTTGGTGAATCCACCTGTATTGGCGTATCCTGATCCAACCAAGGTACAGATTTTGACAACCGATGCGTCTGGGAAAGGGAATCGGTGCAATATCATCACAGTCAGCAGTGACGGGTCAAGCGATGGTGAACAGGTGATAGCTTATGCTTCTCGTGCATTGCGTGGTCCTGAGGTTCGATATGCGACAACTCATGTGGAAGCTTTGGCGATTGTGGCTGGCATGTATCAATTTCGGCATTATCTACGGGGACGCAAGTTTGTATTGTACACCGATCACTCCGCTTTGACATACATCTTGGAACAACCCGTCACCAAGCCTGAAGGTATCAAGATGGTCAGCTGCAACCATTGAATATGACTTGCACTAAGCACGAAAAGGCGAGAGCAATCCAGCGGACGCTTTGTCGCGGTTGGTGGGGTGAGGGAAGGAGCATATATATATATATATATATATATATATATATATATACAAAAAAAAGGGGAGAAAAAGGAAGAGAACAAAAAAAAGTATCAAAACTGTCGTATTCAGAGGATCCACTCCCTATTATCATTCACACTCAGCATCACATCTATATACACACATGTAAATCACCCAAAATAAACCTTTGTCTTTCTGGTTTAGTCTCATGACACACGCATTGCCTGCTTTATACACACACACACACACACACACACACACACACACACACACACATATCTCTGTTCATATATCACAAAAAGACACAAAAGTAATAAAAAAGTAACAGAGAGAGAGAGAGAGAAAGAAGTAAAAAAAGAAAAGAAAATAAAGCCTAAAAAGAAACAAAAAACAAAAAAAAGTATTACATGTATTATTGGAACCATTTTTATTATCATCTTTATCATCACACATTACATTCATCAAGCACATTATCGACATTACAAGTATCACAGCAACACACAAGCGATTATCATTCAAGCTATTATGGACTACGCACATTACTTCTGCGCTATACTATTTCTATCACCGAGGGAACTATCCCCGAGACATGAATGACAACAAGCTAAGACGGTGTATCCGCAACAAGGCCGCAAAATACTTACCTTTCCGGAGGCAAATTGTATCTCAAGAATAAAGAAGGCGATTTTGGACAAGAAGTTTTACATTCGGGCAATGTCATGGAAGTTATCAAGAAGGTGCACAGAGAAGGACACATGGGGATTAACAACACTTGGCGAAGGATGAGGGTACAGTATGAGGGTTATCAACTTTATGAGCGTGTACGTGAGTATGTGGAATCATGTGAGCAATGTCAACTACGAGCAAGGAGGCGGTATGTTCCACATGAGGAAGCACACCCGATACCTACACCATCAAGACCTTTTACATGATTGGATGCGATGCCGTTGGACCTATTAATCCACCTAGCAAGAATGGGAACCGGTATTTGTTGGTAGCCGTTGACTATTTAACACGATGGCCTGTTGTGGCAGCGGTACCAAACATCAGCGAGAAGACGGCGGCGTCCTTTTTGTTCAATTGCGTTGTCAAGGATTTTGGGGTGCCAACATACATATTAACTGATCGAGGTGCCAACTTCAAGTCCGATTACGTGCATAATTTCAAGTGGACGGGTTGCAAGCCTTTGACTACGACTGCGTTTCGACCTCAAGTTAACGGATTATGTGAACGAATGAATCAGACTATTGTTGAGGTGTGCTATCAAAAGTGTGTCAGGATCAAGGTATGCTGCAACGTTGGGATGAGTGTTTGGCTTCGGTCGTACTTGCTATTCGCTCTACACCGAATGATGCTACCGGTTTCAGCCCTGCCATGCTTCTTTATGGTTATGATACTCGCACGTCACAATTTGGTCTTGTAGAAACTGAGAAGATTACGTCGAGGGAAGATTAGCCGATGAGATTACAAGTCGTATCAAGGTCATCGATAACATTATGCAGCAACATCGCGAATTGTCTCGTCAACGTACACAACAAAACAACAACAACGAAAGCAACGATATGATCAACACGTGGTGCATAAGCGTTTTCAAGTTGGTGATCAAGTATTGATGATGGACAAATATAACCAATGAAGTTGGCAAATCGATGGATCGGACCGATGATTGTGATGCGTGTAAATCAACATGGAACGTATTGGTTGCAAGGACCTGAGGCAAACGTTTGGATGGAAAGGTGAATGGGGATATGTTAAAGCGATGGAAATCGAAGGACAAGCTCATACCCGATGTTATTGCTCAACGTGCAGATCGACAGCTACAAGCGTATATTGAGCGTATACAACCTGGACAATGACAACACTCGGCTGAGAGGGGGAGAATGGAGACGGCCGTAGTGTGGGGTAGTCAGCCTTCGAGTTGCCATTTTGAGTCGAGATTTGTTGTCAGCTGAAACATCATCATCATCATCCAATTGTTAGCTGAGCGTAGTATTTAGAAGTATCGCTTGAAAGAATTTGATAAAACCTCGTTTATTGTCTTTTAATTCTTGTTATTGGAAGGATTGTGATTGAGCAGTTGCGATCGCTTATTGAACTTGGATTTGAGCTGGAAGACTTCGACATTGTTGCTTGGAATACATCGACACTCTGCTACAAGCACACTGCCCTATGTTCCTTCAACTTCAACACGTATGTTATGTGCTAGTGCCTGTCGTAGACACAGCTTAATCATCATAACATGGTTCCCACAGCTGTCATTTAATTCTCCTTCTCATCTCATGTGTCACACCTACATTCTCCCACGCATAAATCTTATCCTATATGGCTGTCAGGTACATGGGCACAGACGCGTACGTAAGATTATGGGTATATCGAGAATACCATCATCGTTACTAATCATGGTGTGAGGTCGTGGGAGAATCAGGTTATAGCAGGATCAATCATTTAGCATAAAAAAGAGGGATCGCCTCATTAAATAAGGAAAACCAGTCTCACTTGACTTATCATTGTCTCGTTTTTGTAATCTCATTCCATTTTATTCCACTCTCCTCGATCACAGTGCCCATCATTCTAGCTTAGTACATGTATGGTCCCCGTTCGAGTCTCGGTAATATTTTACACAAACTCAGTACCCTTTTTTAAAAATGTCGCAGCATTTATCATGTGATCTTGGATCAACTACAACAACATCGTATCATATACTTAGTACTACCTTTTATCATTTTGTATACAAGCACATATATATATCTTTAGCACACATGACAATAAAGGACATCTTCTCTTCCACATTCTAGAAGTGATCTCTTTTTATTTCTGGCCATTGGCTCACCAGCCAGACAAAAGAGCATCGACAAAAACTTCACAGGTGTCTACACAAGCTTAATATCTCATCAATGCAGTGGTCCATCGATTACCGGGTAAAGTGCAAAATGATTGTTTTTTATAGCGTTTACATCGGAGATAAATGTTTGGATAATTGTGACTTGGAAAAGTTTTTACATCGAATCTGAAAGAATTGTACATTATAGTATATAGAATTGTGGAAAGATATAATCTGATATAACAGCATAAATTTCTGTAGCCATCCAAAACTCCGCGAAATCATTCCCATCCATTACCACATGCGGACGACGTCGGTGTACCAAATTGGAGAGCAATCTATTAACTAGGTCAGGCGCTACAAGCAAAAATGGTCATTGTCCAACTTTTATTACAAAATAACCAATCGTTTTCATAGGCTCATCGCTCCCCAGCCACTATTGCAACATACATGTAAACTGGTTATTGCATAGATCGGAAGCACCTAAATACTATATATAAATTTCACATTTGTAAGGCATCGGCCCGGAGCAGTATTCCTGTGAAAAGGTACACCATCAACTTTCAACATGAGCCTTACAACAGTTGTGTGACCTCCGATTTTCAAATCACGATAGCACGTCCCACAGACCGCGCACATCTATATAATACATATCGCATGATTCACAATTGACGGCCCCATCGGGTGTTATATATACCAGGGTCCGACGTTACACACACCAAAAGGTATTACTACAAATCTCGGTGAGAACGTATCTTACCACAGATCCCGTCCGCACACCAGATTCTCTCAAAGAAGGCTTCATTACCGAACATGTGTTGAAATTCATGCTACGTATAGTTGGCTGTAGCCACCATTTGATCCACGATCTCGTTGCAGGGAATTGCGTTGTCATAACAAACAATTGGTTGTTGAATACTTGCTCCGATGTTGTCGTGCGGATCTTGTATACCCAGCGAAGGAAAAATTGTCGTTGAGGTGGGGGTATAGCATTGTGGTTGCTACTGACCCGCTGCACAGATTGCATCCAGTGCATATAGCAGCCTTTAAGGTACATCAACCCATCGTCTTTGCTTGTATAGGTGCTATAAGCAGCAAGAAACCCATTGATTTCTGCCTGGGAAAAGTCCATGATGAACCCGAAGACCTTGTCCTTGTCAATGAAATTCAACTTGCATGCGGTGAACAAAAACAAAAAATACTGCTGCAGTTGCCATGTTGTCGTCGATTTCATGATTGCTTGGAAAATAACAACATGCTTAGCAATTTCGGGTGAGTAGATAACGGATGAGCAAAGATAACAATCTCTCACAGCCTTGTAAGTAATATCCGTAACGATGGGATACTGGCTGAAATTGACAAAAGGCCCAATGGTTGGGGACTTGAACGATATAAAGAAGTGCTGCTCAATCAAGTTTGCAAACATAAGAAAGTATGGATACTCGTATTGAATCTTGCTGAATGCTTCGATTGGGTCCTTTGCAGAAATCGGTTGGCCCTTTCTTTCCTTAGCCTTGCGCATCTCGTATCCTACTCTCTCACGGTTGATCAAGATAGGGTCGATGTTGTAAGCTGGTTCAATGACTCGTCGATTTTGCTGATCAATCCCAATGCTTGCAGCCTTTGGTTGAATTGCTGGATGCTGAGTCACAAGTTCATCCATTTGCCTGTTTTGAGTTGCTGATAAATGCTTACGGCTACAGACCTTGTGGGAATGTGTTCCTTGATGTCGCATCTCGCATCCTTCTGGTATGAACTTGTAGTAGACTCTTACCGGACAGCTGTAATGCACAAGATCGCCGTTGCATCCTTTGCAGCCTTGCTTTAGGCGTTTTTTATTGACGGATGGTTTCACTGCAGGACGCAATTGAATGTCTTTCAATATGCATTTTTCATCCTTGATATCTTCGCAAACATTGTAGCCGCAACAGACCCGGTAATAAATACGAATGGAGGGATCGTCGCCTACACAATTGCTGTTTCCTCCACGAAGGCACCATCCAATGTCAAGATTAAAGTGGTCATACGCATTTTCAGCATGATTGAAGTATACATCCGGGCACCACTCTGTACAATCATTTTCGGGGAACGGAGTGTTGAAGAAGGTGACAGTGATGCTATTCTTGGGTGCCATTTTTTAAATACTTGAGAAAGGGTAGAATGCTCTGTGAAAGGTCTTATGTGTGTGTGCTGTATCAAGCAATAGAAAAAGATTGACAATGAACCAGTAAGGTGAAGACAACAATGTATTCAAGGTATGTTTATGATTTTTTTTTCAAGTGGAGCTACAGCTGAGAGAGAGAGAGAGAGGTGAACGCACCATTCATGATGGAGTATTGGAGTATTGGCTAATGCTAGATGTTTCATATCAGTGTGAGCTGTCGGTGTTCCTGGTGATGACAAGTGACAAGTGGCAAGTGGCAAGTGGCAAGTGGATTTATGAATACGAGGTTTGTTATCCGCTCTTGTCCGAGCACATGATGTTGGATGTTATTGATGATGATGGATCTGGATACAGCAATAATACATGTAGAAGCATGAGCTAAACAGCGAAGAAAATGACCTTTGAGTCTCGAGAATTATTATCTCCTTTCATCTCTCTCGATATTACAGTGGTGTGTGATCAGCAAAGAAATGCTCAGTGGGTGGTAAAAGGCGATCAATGGGCTATGTGCAGGTGCAGCGGATTCAACGTTGCTAACCTGAGGTAGATAGCTGATTCTCGATATTCAACTCAGGCAGGATTTTTGACATTGGGGGACTACAGGATTTTTAGTATGACCCCCCAAGATGCTAGCAAGAGCATGAGAACAAGAGCTGAGCGCCAAGTGAACCCATTTCTCCGATTTTTGCTTATAAGCAAGGGGGTCACAGGCATTTGTTTACGCGTCTTTCTTTGCTTCTACTCTACTTTTCTCGACTCCAGGTAAATACACATCTTGCTACGAAGCCCAAACTTCATCTACTCACACTCGTTCCTTAGTCACATGCACCCTCGTTTTACTTCCATGGCTTTGTCGATCTATCAAATGGTGGTGTCGCTGCAAGCAAAACAGTAACCTGTTTGTACCATCGTTGGCGTTGCTGCAAAGAGTGAGTATAAAGCATCAAACACGCGTTATCATACATCATTCTAACGTACCTTTCTTTTGACTTAGAGTACCTTTCTAGGTTGTTATGATGTATCAAAGGTATGTTAATGGAGTATACTGCTGATTGTTTTGTACTTGCTTAGATACTTGTTGTCCCTTCGATCTACTCAAGTACTGTATGCCGAGCATAAGCTAGAAAAATGATCCTGTTCGGCCTTTGTACATTGTCTCGTAGCTCCTGTTATAGTTTGTTTCTGGCAATAAGAGGTACGTGTGCTCGTCTCAAGCTCGCTGCTACAGCGCGATAGCAGATGTTCATAGTATAGTTTTTTGTGGCTTTTTGAATGAATAAAAGTTTTTTTCATTATTTCTCTCGCTATGTGTATTATCATTGGTTGGGGATATGGTGTAAAAGGAATAGTGTGTATGAATAGCGTGTATATGGCCCAATGATGGCAGTAATAGCACCTACGACCGCTCCTTCTTCGTATGAACAGCAGCAATAAGGCTACCTGAAACGGCATTCGCAAGCCAATGGCATTGCCTATTGAATCGATCCCCCCATCGCTATCGTGTAACTTGCTGCCTCTAAACCCGCGTTTAAAGTGGCAGGTTCATCTAGTGTTTCTCCCATTTATTGCCAGCATAAAAACTAACGAAACACTACCATCATTCGACGTTGACCATGGCCTAAACACGGCATGAAAACGACTTGCCAACTCCAGTGTAGAAGTGGTCAAAGCCTGTATTGCGATTTTGGCACTTTCACCAAAATACTACGACTCTATATTACCACCCACAATGGTTGGCAAGTCATTTAGGCAATTGGCTGTCGAGAAAATGAAGGTCAAAATTGGGTGCATTTTTCTCATCATCTACCAGGTTTTTGGAGTTGCTCTCTTCATCTGCAGCATTAGCAGTGGTATGAAAAGCTGATAGAAATGTCGAGGAATAAGCCATGGTCCATGAAGTGTATAGCTTTGGTTTAGCCTTCTTTGGGTATAAAATTGGGCATCAATTTCTTATGTGACTGCTTTTTGAGATTGTTTTAGATCGATTCGGAGCATGCTGTTACCTTGTCGGGGTTTTATTTAAAGCCCAGTTTCCTTATTTAGCTAAGTATCTATATGTATACAGTGCCCGCTCGATATAGTTATCGGGTATGCTTTTTATGTAAGAGATTCTTCAATCGAAAATATAACACTATCGTGTGGGTGGATCGGGGATGAAATATTCTCCGGTTGGCATGGTAAATGCATGGAGCACCTGATGTGTGTGGATAATGATGATGACCTCATGATATGCAGCCAACACGCGTCCAATGTGTATGTCGTTTCTCTTTTTTTTTTCTGTAACAGCTTTGCTCATGACCACCACGCGCAACTCACTGAGCAACCAACAAAAACTAGAGATCTGCAAAGCGATCAAGGTTAAGAAGCTTAGCCAGAGAGAGGCGGCTAGATGGGCGACAAATGAGTTCAAGTTCGAGAAGCCTTTGATACAAGCAGCTGTGTCCAAGATTATGAAGAGCGAACGGCAACTGATGCAAATGAACGAAGAGCAATTACGCAACAAGCGTAACAGAGCAGCAAAGTTTCCAGAGCTGGAGAGGGAGCTGAGCAAGTTTGTCGACTACATGGAAGCAAACAACAAGCCTGTGTCACGTAGTTCTTTGGTATTGCAAGCTTTCGCTATCGCAAGGAAGCAAGGAATCGAAGTTGATGGTGAAAAGCCAGAGATTACGTTCAGCGACGGGTGGTTGACAAAGTTTGAGCGACGTTTTGGCTATCAAGCAAGGCTTATGCATGGCGAGGCTGGCTCTGTCGACCTCAGTCATCACACCATACAAGAGGTGATAACAGATATCAAGAAAGAGATTGCCAACTATGATATCGCCGATATCTACACCATTGATGAGACCGGCTTATTTTACAAGCAGGCACCAATACACACCATGTCTAACTAAGATAGCATTGAATTTCTTGATTTAGGAAGCATCAATATCGCCTTGCATCAGTACTTTATGCTCAAGGGAAATATGGACAACTGTATGAGACTGATCAAAAGCTGGCCATGTCATGGATACAGCAAGCATGGAGATGTGTTACCCGTGAGACAACTACGAATTGCTTGCAGCATACAACATTGTTCACTACTGATACGAATACCACCAATGGCTCCTCAAATGATCACCCGGATGATGCTTCGGACGAAATGACAGAAATGATAACCAGCATTCACTCTGAAATCAATGATATCAATGACATTGACTTGCATCCAGCAGAAGAAATGGAGGACATCCATGAAACATTCGCTGACGAAGATGAAAAATTGGACACTAACAATCAGGATGGTAGGTTGGATATGTGCAAACCCGAGAACGTACGTTTGATTGTAACAAGTTATCTTGGCTACATAAGATGATACTCAAAATGATGACGAGGAAACACCAGCCGTTTACCATATGACTCACTCGGAAAGGAAAAGGATGCTTTTGGACTTTTTGGAGGCTTACGACGTAGATGATGAAATGGATTTGGACATAGCGACCTTGGTGAGAAGGAAGCTTAATAAGCTTTCTTCTGAGGAGATCAATTCTGGCAAACAAACTTCGATAACATCGTTCTTTAGATGATAGATTGATAGTAAACGCTTGCATTCGTTATTGGAATCATGACCATTAAAAGTGATAACATATGACATATAACTTATGGACCCATTTTATTAATGAAAAGCGTATTGCATTGTGAAAAGCGATTCCTAAATAGAAATTATAACTCTATCGCGTATGACTATATCGAGCGGGCATTGTATATAGTATATAAAATGTGGTCCCCTATCTTTTCAGTGATCCGTATATTCAAAAACATTACAGCAGCATGTTCACCATATGCGTATCGTGTTGGATCGTCTCACGAATGCCAATTTGCTATTGAATCCCGCCAGATGCCATTTTGCGCAACAAGTCGTGTATTTGCTCGGCTTTAGGGTGTCAGCAGAAGGTGAGGTGTCGTGTATGGATGTTGTAGTATGGAGACGTAGTAGGAGTAAGTGATACTCGATGAAGGTGATTTATTCTCAAGAGGAAGAACAAGGAAAATAAGATTGGATAGTAACCAAGGATAACCATACACGAGCTGAGTCTGGATGATGGGTACACGTGATTATTCATGGACACGACATCACCCTCCCCCAGGCTGTTAAGCCGATAAAAGTGTTCATGAGCGCGTTTGTTTTATGGGGGAATAAAATTAGCGGCGGGATGTTTTAGATGATGCAAGACGCTTGTTTGATTTTGTTTGTTGTATGCCGCGTTTTCGCTTATTGCTGTTATTGTTGTTTTGGAGGAGATGAGCAGGAAGCTGCTTCTTCTTTTGACGCCAATATTTATGCATGATGCCTGGATCATCAAAGCTTTCTGGTGGTTCCCAGGTGTCGTCTTCGGACGTATAATCTTTCCATCGTACCAGGTATTGATCTTGATGTGGTGCCTCAGGGTCCTTACGGTGTCCCATAATCTTGTCAACCACATATCTTTTCTCGGCAATAAATTCTTGTGAGACGATAGCAGGTTTCAATTCGTGCGGTGCGTATGCTCGTTTTTCCATGTCATCGGTAAGGTCTTTGAGTTTGTATGATCCACCTTTTGTTTTGCGTTTGATGGTGAATGGACCTCTGAAGGTGACATCTAGTTTGCTTCTTTGTCGTTTTTGCGTTCAGCTACCATCACGTGGTCATCAGGTTTGAACTCAACGAGCTTATGCTTCTTGTCGAATTCCTTTTTCCTTGCTTCGTTCACTTGTAAGGTGCGCTCATTGATTGCCGGGAATATGATTTCCTCCATCTTGTTTGCATTTTCAATCATTTCTTCTACACTCATGGATCGTCTTGGTGCGTCTTGGCTGTAGTCCTTGAATTCATTCAAGTTGCGTGCAAACATCAAGGCGAAAGGGCGTGATTTGTGTCTCGTTGATACTTTAACGTTTAAGGCTAGTTGTGTAGCGGGTACGTATAAATCCCAATCGGGAATAGCGCCTTCCATTGATTTCTTGATGCCATTGATTGCACTTTGCACCCAACGCTCAGCACTGCCATTTGCTCGAGGATTGTAGGGTGTGATTAAACGATGGTCAATGCCCACTGTTTTTGTAAACAGCTCCATGAGTTCATTTGAAAATTCACTTCCATTGTCGCTGCTCACGATTCTTGGTATTCCAAAGGTGGTAAAGGCGTCAATTAGTTGTGTGACAATGGTGTTTGCTTTTTTGTCAGGGATTGGTTTCAGTAGGCAGAATCTTGTACAAATGTCCACCATGATGAGCAAATATTCATTGCCTCTATTTGTTTTGGTTAATGGACCTGCAAGATCAATAGACCAGTGGTCGCCAGCAATGTCACAGCTGATTGGGCGTAGAGGATTGTATCCACGTCGTATGGTGTTTACTTGTAGGCATTTTGCACAACTTTGTGTTAGGCGTAATGCATCGTTTTTGATGTGTGGCCAGTGCATGCCTTTCATGTGAATGTCATTTACGATTGCATCGGCACCAAAGTGACCGAGAAGATGAGATTCCATAAGTAGCTGGTGACGTGCTTCAGGTGGTGGTTCAATGTAATCCCTGCTGATCCTGTGTGCGGCTCTAGCGATTGGATCTTTGATTGTATTGGTTTCATCATCATCCTCATCATCTGATGGACCCGATTCCTCGTTGTCCTCATTGTTTGTCATAGGGTTGTCATGCTTAACCTTTTTGTGGTTTTGCAATTGCTGCGGGTTTTCACCCTCCCCCAGGCTGTGAGCATCAGGGAACAGCCGAGAAAGTCGATCTGGCAGCGTATTAAGTATACCTTTGATGTAAACGATTTCGAAATTGTAGTCGAGGATGCGATCGAGCCATTTTGTGAGCATTGGGTTGAGTTGTTCCTGGGAATGTAAGTATACCAGAGCTTGGTGATCGGTATACAAGATAAATTTGTTGCCCCAAAGATAAGTATGGAAGCGATTGAGAGCAAAGATGATAGCCAAAAGTTCCTTCTTGGTGATTTGATAATTGCGTTCAGCGGGTTTCAATGATCGAGCCATAAAAGCGATGTAGCGTTTTTTGCCACTTTTCGAGAGTTGGTATAGGACAGCGCCAATGCCGTTGTTTGAAGCATCGGTTGCCCCATAAAATGGACGATCCATAAAAGGTTGATGTAACACAGGATGTTGTGCAAGCACCGCGTTGATGGCTTCAAAAGCTTGTTGTTGTTTTGGACCCCAATGTTTACCAAGGTATTTGAGTTTGCGTAGGCAATTCAAAGGTGCTGATAATTCTGCAACCCTTGGGACGTGAGCGTGAAAGTAATTGATAACGCCCATAAATCTTTCGATGTCCTTGCCGGTTTGTGGGGTTGGCCATTCCTGCGTATTGGCTACTTTGCGGGGATCAAGAGTTTTGCGACCGCCTTCAGAGATACAGAATCCCAAAAGATAAACGGAACGCATTGCAAATACGCATTTAGCGCGATTGAGGACGAGGTTGACTTTTGTCAGCCTTTCAATGACCGTAGCAACGTGATGGACATGTTCTTGCATATTAGCAGAGAAGATTACCACATCATCCACGAAGGTAGACGTAAATGGTAAGTCGCCCAATAGCACGTGCATACAGCGTTGGAATTTTGAGCTGGTGGATTTGATGCCAAAAGGCATGGACACAAAGCAATAAGCTTGGTTGTCAACCGGTGATGTAAAAGTTGTGTGCACGCGATGTGGCGGATGAATTGGTAACCGGTGAAATGCTTGTGTGAGATCCAAAGTGGTGAAAACATTTGCATGCTTTACTTGGCGAAAGATTTCATCGATGAGAGGTAAGCGATAGGTTTCATCAGGCAGGTGAATGTTTAGAGCTCGTGGATCAAGGCATAGGCGAAACTTTGTTTTGTCACCGTGCGCATCCTTTTTGGGAGCCAAAGTCAAAGGATTATTCCAGCGACCATAAACTTCTGCCGGTGCCTTCTCAATAATGCCATCGCGTAACCACTTGGAGATTGTTTCTTGTATCATGGGAAGATGTTTATCAGCAATGGGGTATTGTTTTTTGTAAACAGTCTTGCCGTTGGTAGGGAGTTTGACGACAGCTTCAGGTAAAGTGCAGAATGCATTTGTGGGGATAGCCTGATTTGCATCCAGCAAGGGGTCAATTGTTTCAAACAATGCCTTTCGTTCCTTTTCAGAACCTGCTGGAGACGCGTTTGGCTTTGGTGGCTTCTCTTCCGCTTCTTCAACCTGTGCTTCTTGATCGTCCCATTTGGCTACCAAACCTGCGAAACCGATACGAAATGTCTTCATGAGATCTGTTCCAATGCTGACAGGGTGACCTCTTGCAAGGTTCATGACTTCAAATTGGTGCGTGACCTTAACGTGGTTATACGACACAGCTAACTTTTTTGTTGTGCCCATACGAGGCAATTTGATAGAACTATCTGCAAGTGTGATGTTTCCATGTACGTGTTTTATTTGAATGCCCAATTCTTTACAGAGTTTAGTATCGATAGAGGAAAAGTTTGCTCCAGAATCGAGTAAGGCCAATACACGTTTGTTTTCTATCATCACGGGGATAGTGATTTCGTCAGCTTGTGCCTTTGTTTCATGTTTTGTTGCCATACGGCTTTTCAACTTACAGTTGTCATCAGCTTCAGTCATTGAGACATCAGCGTCAATGTTGCTTTCATCCAAGCCTGATTCAGAGGAACGAGACGAGGACGCAGAGGTTGAGTTGTTGTCGGCTTCGGCCGCTTGATCCGCTTGTGGGATGATATTGGCACTACGTGCAAGGAATTGTTGTGGGGCTTTACGCTTTTGCAAGACGTGTGAGGGAGCTTTGCCGCTAGCTATTCTTTTTCGTGCTTCCTGTTTACAACGGAAACAATGGTTGTTTTCATACATCTTGCCGCGGGGATCATGTGGGCACTCGTGGCTGCCATTGTTGAATTCCACGATTTTACCTTTTTCATGCTTGAAGCAATGCGAACATGCACCTTTTGGTACATTCTGAAATTGGTGTTTGGGTTGCTTGAACTTACGTTCGTCGCGTTGATTGGTGAAGAAAGTGTCTGTGCGAGATCGTTTGGATCCAGCAGTACCAAAAGTTGGCATAGTGTTGAAGTTGGCAAAGGCGCGGCGAAAGTGTTCAAGATCCACCGGCCAGTCGGCTCCATATTTCAAATTAACATGGTCCGAAGCAAGCTGATTAGTACTTACTAGCATGTTTTCAAACATCAAATCGCGAATAAAGGCGTCTTGTTGCGGGAGTTTAGCCTGATAAACGAGATCTGAAAAGCGTCGCACAAAGGAGCACAACGCCTCGTCGTGTTTTTGACGACAATTAATGACCTCGCCATGCAGACGACGTTGTTCAGCTGTCGTATCGAACAGCGTGATGATTGTTGCTTTAACCTGGACCCAAGTGAATTCATGACCAGGCTCAACGTCCGCATTTTCCAATGCAGACATGAGGCGCTCTAGTTGTTGTGTATCTAAAGCGTAATTTACGATTCGGCGCCAATGTGTGTTTTTGCTTTCTTCGCTTTCAAAGCCATTGTAATTCATCACACGGTCTACTTTTGTAGCCCATTCTTCAGCGCTGTGAAATTTATGCTGACGAGCAGCAGGATCCGAATGTTGAGTGGATGGCGTGTTCAAGTAAGGGATTTCTTTTGGAAGCTTTGGTGGGCGTGAAGCCTTTGGTTGAGCATTTTGGCTTAATGCCGAGCCCTCGGACGATTGTCCATAAGTGGTAGGAAAGAAAGCGGGGTTAGCAGGGAACATGTCGTGGTACGTTTCTTTGATACTTTCGATTTCAAGCTTAATGGCCTTCATCTCCAGACGATGTCCTCTCAATTCCTCAAGCGTTTGGGCCTGATTCAAAAGATTACTCTTAGCCATCCACATGTTCTGTAGACGTTGAAGAGTCGCAATTGTTTGCTTCTCCTCATCAGCATACACAGATGCCGAGGCGCCAGTTGCAGGCGACAAGTTAATGTTTGGTACAACGTGAGACGAGCTCAGAGGTTGAGATTGTTGAGAGCCATTATTGACCTCAGATTGGCGGTGCTGAGGAGGCGAAATAGCCAACTCTTGCATGCCACGAACAGGGGCTTCTGCCACGCTGCTATCATTATTAAGCAAAAAGTGCAAATTAGGTGCACGGCCATTATTGGCATTGTTGACCATAGGAGGCAACGTGAAGACATTGTTGTCAACAGGGGCAAAGGAATTGTCATTGCGATAGGGGTTGTTGCTGCTAAGTTGGTTGACAGCGTGGTTGATGGAGTGGTTGTAGCGAGTGGTGTTCTCGGCGTTGTTGTTAGCGTTGTTGTTGTTGTTGTTGTTGTTGTTGTTGTTGTTGTTCATAGTAAAAATCGAGACGTTGTTGTTGTTGGTGAGTGTTCACTTAAAAAAAGATGAGGTGTCGTGTATGGATGTTGTAGTATGGAGACGTAGTAGGAGTAAGTGATACTCGATGAAAGTGATTTATTCTCAAGAGGAAGAACAAGGAAACTAAGATTGGATAGTAACCAAGGATAACCATACACGAGCTGAGTCTGGATGATGGGTACACGTGATTATTCATGGACACGACAGAAGGCATTACATTAGACTCGAGGAAGGTCGCCAATGTGTTGGAATGGCCAAGTCCTCGACATGGTAAGGACATCCAACGATTTTTGGGGATCGTTAATTACTTCCGAGACCACATTCCAAATGTGTCACGTTTAACCGCCCCACTCGACGCTTTACGACATGCTGGTAGCTTAAACAATACATGGAACAAACATCACGAGGATGCTTTTTACAAAATAAAGTATGCGGTATCACATGCACCTACGCTTAGGCATGTTGACCTTCGCTTACCATTTCACCTAGCAACGGATGCCTCTAATGACGGCACCGGTGCGGTTTTATATCAGAAGTACAATGATCATAACAACATCGTGGGCTTCATGGCTCGCGCCTTAAGCAAATCTGAACGAAATTACTCTGTAACGAAACGTGAACTTCTGGCTGTTGTATTTGCTCTCAAGAAGTTCCATAAATACTTATGGGGAAACCCATTTACCTTATACATGGACCATAAGGCCTTGGTCTATTTGAATACACAAAAGGATCCTAACCCGATGATGATTCATTGGCTGGGCACATTGCTTGACTATACATTCACCGTGGTATACTTACCTGGTATTTCCAACATTCTCCCAGACCATTTGTCGCGTCTCTTTTCTCCTCCTAGTCGCACGCTGGCAGGGGGTAAGACATACCACTCTAAGACTACAAATCATAATGAAGACAACATGATAATGCGGGCAACGCATTTAGATGACATGATGCAACCTCCAGAGGAGGAACGTCATACCATACCGGATTTCCCGAAAGACGTGGAACATGAGGTTAATGATTTCGTGGTTAAGGTGATTGCTTTCGTGGGTGATGATTATTTGTTCGTGGCTAATGACAAGTGAGTTCGTGGCTGGTGGTTCTTGGTTTCGTAGGTAGCGCTTTTGGTTTCGTGGGTAACGTCTTTTGAATTGGTGGGTGCTGCCTTTTGAATTGGTGGGTGACGCTTTCGGTTTCGTGGGCGCGGCTTTCTATTTCGTGGAGGATGACTTTAATTTTCGCGCAGGATGACTTTAATGTTCGTGGGTGGCGCTTTTGATTTCATGGGTGACGATAAAGGTTTCATACGCTGCATTGCTAGTCAACATTGCATACGATTTGCTGATTGATGTCCGCTGTTGCATAGAATGGTTTATGATCACCCGCGAAATCAAAAGCGCTACCCACGAACATTAAAGTCATCCTGCGCGAAAATTAAAGTCATCCTCCACGAATTAAAAAGCCGCGCCCACGAAACCAAAAGTGTCACCCACCAATTCAAAAGGCAGCACCCACCAATTCAAAAGGCAGCACCCACCAATTCAAAAGACGTTACCCACGAAACCAAAAGCGCTACCTACGAAACCAAAAACCACCAGCCACGAACTCACTTGTCATTAGCCATGAACAAATAATCATCACCCACGAAAGCAATCACCTTAACCACGAAATCATTATCCTCATGTTCCACTTCTTTTGGGAAATCCTGTATTACAAAATGCACACTTGTTCGGCCATTTTGGTGCCGATGCTATAGTAAAAGCAGTACACAATAATGGGCTACATTGGCCAGCAATAAAAGAACAAGGATTGAGAATCGTCAACGCTTGCAAAGAATGCCAAAAGTATAACATTGCACAAAAAAGATATAATCCTTTGCAACCAATAAGGACGTATGTGCCCGGAGATCATTGGGCATTGGACTTAGCCGGCCCTTTGACGACATCTACCCAAGGTAACAACTATTTACTTGTCCTCGTGGTTTGTGTCTTACGACCAATCCCTAATAAGCAATCGCACACAATCGTATCCACTTTGGTTCAAATCTTTTCCGATTTTGGGTTACCACGAGTACTTCAATCCGACAATGGATCGGAATTTGTTAATGACTTAATGCGACATTTCAAAAGAGCATCAGGTTTTGACCACCGTTTGGTAACACCTTACCATCCAAGGGCCAACGGTGTTGCAGAACGCTGGGTTCAAACATCATTAAGGGCTATAAAGAAGCGGATACAAGGAGTACATAAAGACTGGGACTTGTATGTTCCAGCAGTGCAGTTGGCCATGAACGCAAAAGTAAGCACACGTATAAATACTGCTCCATTTTCATTAATGTTCGCTCGCAAATTAAGTAATTTTGAAGACTATGGTAATGGTGAATTGTTGTCACCGATGGAAAGGCATGATTTATTAGAACGCATTGACATGATGAATACAGTGGTCTTTCCAGCCATTAAGGATAAAATGGAAGCTGTAACTAGGAAGCAGAAAGGGAAGTTTGATAAACATCATAACATTACAGAATTCCCTAAACAAAGTCATGTGATGAAACGTGTATACAAAAGAAAGGGAAGTTGTATCCCGAATATGAGGGACCTTACACCGTAGTGCGAAAAACAAAAGGAGGTTCCTATGTTCTTATGGATGAGCAAGGAGAACTTTTACCTATCGATATACCACCTTCTCAGTTAAAGTTGATCTCGCAGGACGAGATCATGCCTGCTGATGATGTCTATGAAGTTGACTTCATCGCAGCACACAAAAAGGAGCCTCACGGTAGCTACCTTTATAAAGTAAGATGGAAGGGGTATACTGCTGAGGACGATACTTGGGAGCCATATGACCATTTTAATAGCACCGAGGTCATCACCTCTTACTGGGAACGACTTGGTGTAGATTGTCCTCACGATACAAACCAAACAACCTTGCTTAATTCCACATCCAAAAGAAAAAGAAAACACGTCCATCAGGTACACAATACAACACGGACTTCTAAAAGACGTCGCCAATGATTTACCCCTGGCAACGCCCTGGAGGGAGGTGATGTTGTATTCGTGTATGCATTGTACATGATCTCACTATGACAAAGAACAGGGATGCTGGACATCCCATGTATATAAATCTGTTTCAATCATGCATAAACCCATCAATGTAAATATCCATGCAATAGTAAAAGTATAAATAGGGATGATCCCATAATAAAACACCCGGCATCAGTCTCACAGTACTCGATCTTGTCTTTAAACCTTTGTTTTTTACTATTCAATCTTCTTGAACACCACAAATACATCTTCCGTGCTCATTAAGACATCTTGCAGCTGTGCATGGACCATGAACCATGAACCGTTTCACTGTTGCATATGCATCAGGATACCCAGTACGATCTGGGATCTCAGCAGAAACAATAGAATCAACCTTGTCTGCGTCGTCAGGAACATCATCAGGTGTAAGGATAAGAAGGATGTGGGCATGAGGAAGTCCGCGCTTTTGAAACTCGATGGTATGGACATGGGCAACGACTCTTCCAAGGACATGCCTTCTTGTGAGATCATCCATAAATTCCTTCATCTTGAGACGAAACATCCGTGCAGTAAGATCAGGGCGATCAGGTGCTGTTTGTGGCGGGATAAGGTTGTCTTGAATTTCTGGCCAGGCAGGATTGCAAGTGAATGTGATGAATAGATGAGGTTTCCCGAATCGGCGTACAATGCTGATAGCATCTTGATAAAGCTTATGCATATGTCGAGGGCTTCCTTCGAAACCTGATGGCAAGATATAACGACGACCAAGGGATTGCATGTCGTTATCACCAAGTCCCATAGCATCTTCCACATTGCGGTACGAATCCAGGGAACATGAGGACATAGTGTAAATGATCGTACAGCGGATGTCATCCGTCAATTTGCATAAGCCCTTGACCATGACGGCTGATGACAATATTGCGATAGGCAGTGGAAGAGGAAGAGATTGGGACCACAGCAGCAATTTCAGCAGTGGCGGGTTGTAGAAACTGACCACGATGGCCACGGCTGGAAGAACGATCGGAATGGATGGTGATAGCAAAATCATTGTCAGGCTCATTCTCCAGTTGATCAGCAGCACGTGTGTAGATGCGAGCAAGAGGGTTGACATCCAAGATCATGTCTTGCAATTGTTGCACAATATCTCGATCAAGGCCACCATTCAGAGAAGCACGAATATCGAGTTGTTGGTTTGAGTCGCATATATAAATTTGAGCGAACCCTGGCTGTTGATTTGACGGGATCATTGAAGTAGCGATGGAATGATGAATAACACCGTTGGCACGGAAAGTGTAGACTCCTGATCTTGCGTTTGCAAGGTCTGTGTCAAGCTTTTGGGATATTAGGAAACATGATTAGGTGCATGCCAAGATGGAACTGAGAATGGAAGGGCGAATCATACATACCTCAGCACGAATAGAGGAGAAAGCAAATGCGGAATTGTATGCACGAATGTTGATACGGAAAGCGTTAGAAACCTCATCTTGGGCAGTAAGCAAGCGAAGTAGTGGATCAGGTGGAGGCGACGGCAATGTAAGTGAAACCTTTCCTTTGTTACAGCAAAAGGAGTATTTTGGATTTGACATGGAGGAGTCCGCACGTTCAGCAATCCAGGCCTTGGCGTGACAATGAGGACATGTTGACGACATTTCTCCAAAGGAGTGTCTGCCATCAGGACCAATATTGTCACGTGGCCTGGCTGTTGGATGAAAATCGGAAGGAAGCATCCTGGCAGGGTAACGGCGTTGGGGAACCTGCCGAGTGGTGTTTGCATTGGGTGCAGAAGGTGCATTTGGTGTTGAAAGTACATTGGGTGTTGAATGGGCAATGGGTGTTAAATGGGCAATGGGTGTTGAATGGACATTGGAAATGTTGCGAGGGTTGTTGGGACAATTTAGATTCGACCGTCGCAAATGTCCAGGTTGACCACAGCTGCTGCAAGTATTGGTGGAAACGAAGATGGTATTGGAAGTGTTGGCAGTAGGAGTGGTAGAGACGACGTCGTTATTGGTGGTTGTGGTATTCGGGTTAAGTGGACAGGTTGAAGATTGGCCTACTTGACCACAGCTGGTACATGTAGGTTGGGCAATAGGTGCAAGGTTTGTTGCAATGAAGATGCTCGTTTGGTATTAGGTATCTACAATAAGTACAATGGAGTTAGCAGATAATGAGGAGGACGGGCACGTGATTAGATTATTGTTACCATTGACGAAAGAGACAGGCACATTCCGGATCTGTGGTAAGATACTTTCTCATCTAGATTTGTAGTAATACCTTTTGGTGTGTGTAACGTCGGACGCTGGTATATATATCACCCGATGGGGCCGTCAATTGTGATCATGCGATATGTATTATATAGATGTGCGCGGTCTGTGGGACGTGCTATCGTGATTTGAAAATCGGAGGCCACACAACTGTTGTAAGGCTCATGTTCAAAGTTGATGGTGTACCTTTTCACAGGAATACTGCTCCGGGCCGATGCCTTACAAATGTGAAATTTATATATAGTATTTAGGTGCGTCCGATCTATGCAATAACCAGTTTACATGTATGTTGCAATAGTGGCTGGGGAGCGATGAGCCTATGAAAACGATTGGTTATTTTGTAATAAAGGTTGGACAATGACCATTTTTGCTTGTAGCGCCTGACCTAGTTAATAGATTGCTCTCCAATTTGGTACACCGACGTCTTCCGCATGTGGTAATGGATGGGAATGCTTTCGCGGAGTTTTAGATGGCTACAGAAATTTATGCTGTTATATCAGATTATATTCTCCACAATACTATATACTATAATGTACAATTCCTTTCAGATTCGATGTAGAAAACTTTTCCAAGTCACAATTATCCAAACATTTATCTCCGATGTAAACGCTATAAAAAACAATCATTTTGCACTTTACCCGGTATCGATGGACCACTGCATTGATGAGATATTAAAGAAACATTGTAGACACCTGTGAAGTTTTGTCGTTATCGTATGGCTGATTAGATCAGTGGCCAATGATATAACTTTTGGTGTTGCTATGATAAGTGATGATCTTTTATTGCTAAGGATGTTCACGATATATATATGTTCGATGTATGGATTCTATGAATGATGTGGAAGATGCTAGTAAAGAGCTTCTAGCAATTGCCAGCATCAAAAGGAAAAGGGTTCTAGAAGGAACGAGCAAAAGCTAGGTCACGTGGTCACATGACCTACGACAGTTTTTTAAAAAAGAGTTTTACTGAGTTTGTGTAAAATATTACCGAGACTCGAACAGGGACCATACATATGTTAAGCTAGAATGATGGCCACTAGCACATAACATACGTATTGGTTGACAAGTCCAAAATTTTACTATATACCAAACTACTACTTCCTTTGGTAAGATTTATGACGTCAAGCTCGCCTTTGGTGCTTTCCACGTGATGTCCTTTGACGATGCTTGATGTTTCCCTCACACTCCTTTGTCTTTCCCTTTTTGGATTCCCCGATGCCCCGTTTCATGCACCACATTTTGCCCACGTCATTCCCTGTTTATTGCTTTCCCTGTTTACCTGTTCCCTGTTAGTACTTTCTTTACGAGTTCTTTTCCCTTTACTCATCACTTTTGTTATCCTTGCTTCCTTTCTGACTTTACGACTTTCACTTCAGCTCATTCCACTTTACTTGTTATGTTGTTCATTCACACTTCTACATTGACACAGTACGACAGCACCACGATTGCACCCTGATCTCACATTCGTCATGGCAACGACTTCTCTTGCGACGTCTTATCATTTTTATCACTCACTCGGTTGTCCCTGAATGCACCATGATCATACATTATCATTCAGACGCACTGTATGTAAATCCAGACATACTAAGATACACGCACACGCACACACACACACACAAGCACACGCACACACACCCATATTGTTATTATCATTGTCATCATCATCCTTGTATTTGTCAAGTCAATATAAATTAGCTCAATGATTGAATAAAGAAAGACAAGCTTTTTGAAGCCGAAGATTTGAAGAAGGATTGTTTCCTATTGCTGATCGCTGATATTGTGCGAACGAGACCCTTTTTACCTTTAGACTATTCACACACCCCTCCCATTGTTCCCTTTTTCTCTCTCTCTCTTTGATTATCTTTTCGATTGTTCATTGCAGGTTGATCTTTCAGTCTTCAGTGTTCATTGTTTATTTTACATTTCATTTGTATTCATTGTATTTCTACTTGCCGGTGGAGTCTTTCTTATTTTATCTACCCTACACACACAACTTACCTCCCCGGATATTCTTGAACAACCCTTAGCACCGCACGTGTCAGATTGGTGTCAGCAAGGTGGAAAATGTCAGCAGATCAAAGTACGCGTGCCGTGCCATCAAGCATGTATGCTGAACTACAACATAAGCGTCACCTTTATAAGTTTCTATCTGAACCCAAGGATTTCCATGGTACCTCTGATCGTAACCCTTTGAGTTGGTTGCGTCATCTTGATCGTATTCGGCGTGGTCTTGAGTTGAAGGATGAGGAAGTTTTACTTGTGGCGTCTACTCATTTTCAAGGACAAGCTGAACTCTGGTGGGACACGGTGGAGGATGAAATTAAAACATGGACGCAATTCAAGGAAGCGTTTCGTAAGCAATTTGCTGAGTCGTTGCAAGATCGCTGGTGGTCAGAGTTGGAGACTATGGAGCAAGAAGATGACCAATCAGTTGATGATGTTGCATTAGCGATTCTCGAATTGTGCCGCTTACTTGATATCAAGGATAAGAATTATCACATTCGCTGCTTGTTACGTGCCATGAAGCCTGAGATTGGATATGAACTCGAGAAGGGTGGTGTTACTGCTGATTGGGACAAGGTCATCAAGTCGGCTCGTCAAGTTGAAGTTGTCATGAATAAGTATACCAAGTCTGGATTTTCGGTGCCAACCAAACAAGGTATTACAAGCATTGATTCAACCACCAGGAGTATCTCGTCCAAGAACAGTGACAAGGGTGCCAAGAGCGATTACGATGTTGCAAGTATTGGAAGCTCTCTTGATGAGCTAGTTTCTGGTATGCGCGCATTGAAAATCAATCTTGTTGACAAGCAACCACGTGCAAGACCACCACCAAGAGGACCCATCCGTTGTTTCCTTTGTCACCAGGAAGGCCACAAGTCGTATGAATGCCCTGACAACAAACCGGGAAAAGCGACCGGGCACCAGTGAACGGAGGTACTGGTGCCGTCAATATAAAATCCTCCAATACACAAGATCAAGGTTCCAAGGAGTCGAAGCCTGGTGATGTAAATTTCGTTGGGAATGGTGATGCTGTTGAAATCATGAATGCACAAAAACGTACCGCTGATGACGCCTCATTATCCAATCATGGTGCCGATAAAGGAAAAAGACCTGCAAGAGCCGTTGCATCTTCAGCTCAACCCATGGATATCGAACCGACAAATCAAGTTGTTGGCCAAAAGAGAACAGCAAGACCAAGACGCCGTGCACCACCAAGGAGATTAGTAGTCAATACACGTAAGCGTGATATTTGGCGAAAGTTGGGTCAACTCGATGCTGGATTAAGTATGGCGCAATGGATCTCGTTGGATAAGGCAGCTTACAAGGATTTGCGTGATGGGCTCCGATATCTTTATGGTCGCAAGCCTAAGGCCGAAAATCGCAAGTCCCAGGCCCAAGTGAATAACATGGAAGTTGATGTCGGTGCTGATGAAGATTGGTCCACTGAGTCGGAATGGTCTACATCAGATACAGAATCAGTGTCTAGTGTAGATTCATTAAGATCCGATGACACTCTCCATGATTATCCTTACAACTTTTCCACACTTCAATCAAGCAAGCCCATGAAGGCCCAAATCGTTATCAATGGTGAACCAACCGAAGCAACATTCGATACAGGCGCAAGCGTATCCGTTATCTCAAGACCGTTGGCAGAAAAACTTGGCCTTCAACCCAATGGTGATTGTCTACCACTATCGTCATTAGGACAAACATCAGCTGGAGTTGGCAAAGTAACCACCCACGTACCGATAAGAGTTGCAGGAAAGTACCGCCCAGAGCATATGTGCATTTTCGATACTCATCGCCCCATTTGCTTGTTAGGTATGACTTGGTTTCGTGCACACGGCATTCGTATCGATCATACTGATGCTAGCATTGTCATTCCTATCAAGAATGGGCATGGGTCGGTGGTGCTGCAATGCAATGAAGGTGCTGAAGGACAAGACGACTTGTTGGCAAGTGAAGAAAACGGTGTTGTGTTTGCTGCAAACATTACTGGTGGCGAAGGTGAACCAGTTGACATCGTGGACCTGAATGACGGACAAGCCGAGGTGTTCATGACAAGTGTTGCCGACAAGAGCCATTGTGCTGTTGAAGAAGAACCAGACCCAGGTGCAAGCAAGTTGTTGGAGTTTTACAAGGAAGAGCTGTTGGGGAATGGAAGCGTTGAGGGCGATGACGTTTCAATCCCAGCGGAGATTACCAATCTGTTGGATCAATTTGAGCATTGCTTTGTTGAGCACAGTGGATTGGGTCGCGTGAAAGGATATGAGCACCACATACCTCTTCAAGATTCTACACCAGTGCGTTCAAAACCTTACAGGCTTACTTGGGAAGAGGAAGATCATCTCAGGAAGGAACTTGCAACCATGACGGACTTGGGTTTGATACGACCTTCCAAAGGCATATGGACGTCTCCTATTTTCTTTGTACGCAAGAAAACTGGTGAATTGCGACTCGTGATTGATTATCGACAACTAAACGCCAAGACCGTTAAGGATGCCTATCCCCTCCCTCATTTGGATGATTTGCTCGGATCCATGGCTGGTGCTCAAGTTTTCTCTACACTCGATGCTGCTAGTGGATACTGGCAAATACCATTAGCACAAGAAGCAATCGAGTTGAGTGGATTCGTTACCAAGTATGGGACTTTTGAATTCACTGTTATGCCATTTGGCTTAACATCTGCCCCTGTATGCTTTCAACGAACAATGACAAGTATCCTCGGCCCCTTCATTGGCAAGTTTGTGTTCGTGTTCATCGATGATATCATCATCTTTTCATCATCAGTGGAAGAGCATGTTGAACATCTACGTCAAGTACTTCAAGTTTGCGATCAAGCAGGATTACGATTGAAGCGTGCTAAGTGCGAATTCGCTCGTACGTATGTGGAGTATCTTGGCCATATTGTATCAAACGAAGGATTATTGCCATCACCCAATAACGTTGTCAAGATTCGAAAGATGCAAGCCCCTAGGAATGTTGATCAAGTACGCTCTTTTATTGGGATGGTGAACTACTATCGTCGACATATCCCGGAATGTGCCCAACTTCTACATCCTATATCTCAATTGATGAGGCGCAAAGGAAGGTTTTATTGGGGCCCTGATCAAGAGGCTGCTTTCACCCATATCAAGATCCTTCTCACTGGCCCACCTATTTTATCGTACCCGGATCGTGAACAAGTGCCTATTTTGACAACCGATGCATCAGGTGAAGCTCTTGGTGCGATTTTGTCACAAAGCCCTGATGGCAGTGATAACGAGGAAACCGTTATTGCTTATGAATCCCGAGTTTTACGAGGTCCCGAATTGGCGTATGCAGCAGTACATCAAGAGGCTTTAGCCATTGTATGGGCTGTGCACAAGTTCAGACATTTCCTTGCTGGTCGTCGCTTTGTACTTCGAACGGACAATTCAGCCCTTACATACATCTTATCCAATTCCAAGCCAAGTCCCAAATTGCAACGATGGGCAGCTGCTCTTTTGGAGTACAACTTTATCATCCAACATCATCCCGGCAAGAAGAACCCAGCAGATGCCCTTTCCCGATTGCCCTTTGCTTAAGATAGAAACATTGATGAACCCATTCCTTTCCTTTTGATTCGATTCACTTATTATGATGACAAATTATGTTGAACATTCAATCGTGCTGTGCTTATATATGACTTTCAATTATGATTATAAAAGACGTCAATGATTCAAAGAATAAAGATAACAACTCTTTCACTTTTTCTTTTCTTAATCATACACAAATCCTGTCTACATCCTATTTTCCTGTTTCAGCCGTATTACACTACTATTTAAATAAGGCGATTCATCGCCTTGTTTTTGAACCATCTTGTTCCACAATGGAGTACCCTTATTACTTGGCTTTGTATTACTACATCACTGAGGGTCGCTATCTTAGCGGTGCCGATGAATCAACTAAACGCAAGCTACGTTACCAAGCACAACGTCTTGAAGCCCATCGAGGAAGGCTGTATCGCAAAACCGATGATCCAACATTCTTTGGTCCTGAGGTTCTCCATGAAGGAAACATCGAGGAAATTGTTAAACAAGTGCACAATGAAGGTCATTTCGGCGAGATACGAACATGGCAACGTATACGAGAAAACTTCTGGAGCCCTGGTTTATCGAAGTATGTCAAGGAATTTGTTAAAGCATGTCAAACATGCCAATTTAGACAGCGTGCCCCTCGAAGACGTTATGCTCAAGCAAATCCAATCCAAACACCAAGTCGTCCATTTTTCATGATTGGTTGCGACGCTGTGGGTCCCACGTTGGAACCAACAAGGCATGGTAATCGTTATCTTTTGGTGGCGATTGATTATTTAACAAGGTGGCCAGTGGCAGCTGCAGTACCCAACATCAATGAAGAAACAACAGCTGATTTTCTATTCAATCAAGTGGTAAAGACATATGGCGTACCTTCCTATATTTTAACGGATCGAGGATCCAACTTTACATCTGAATTTGTTCGAGAGTTTCTACGTGACATGGGCTGCAGACATATTACCACTACGGCGTATCGACCCCAAAGTAACGGCCTTTGTGAACGATTAAACCAAACCTTAACCCAAACCATTGCCAAAATTGCACGAGACGATGATAAAACTGATCGATGGGATGAGTACGTGGATATGGCATTGTTGGCTATTCGTACGATGCCAAACGAATCAACAAGGTTTTCTCCCTCCATGCTATTGTTTGGATATGAATTGCGTACCCCGGCAACATGGCCTGCCCCAAGGATCGATTATGTTGAAGGCGAGATTGAAGTGGAGATTGCCCAACGTACACGAGTCATAAAACATCTTTCCGATACAAGCCGTGAACAAGCACGCATGCGAGTTAAGGAAAGACAAACACGTGACAAGAGGCGGTATGATCAAAATGTGGCTCCTCGTAAACGCTTTCAAGTTGGAGAGCAGGTGTTGATGCGTGACAAGGCACCCGTTGGCAAGTTTAGCGATCGGTGGATCGGGCCCTTGGTGGTAACGAAAGTCAATAGTCTTGGTACCTATCATCTGGCGTGACCATCATCACGTAAATTGGATGGCGCAGTACATGGGGACATGTTAGTTCCATATCATCAACGGAGAAACATGGTTCCTGATGTCCAAGTACAGCGTGCGGCACAAAAATTTCAAGCATGGATCTCACGTTCAAGGTTGGATTAGTCTTTTTCAGTAGTAGTTTGGCTTTGTGGCGGGAGAGATGACAAGTCCAAAATTTTATTATATACCAAACTACTACTTCCTTTGGTAAGATTTATGACGTCAAGCGGATCATTGAAAAGATAGGGGACCACATTTTATATACTATATATACATAAATATACGTAGCTAAATAAGGAAACTGGGCTTTAAATAAAACCCCGACATGGTAACTGCATGCTCCGAAACGATCTAAAACAATCTCAAAAAGCAGTCACATAAGAAATTGATGCCCAATTTTGTACCTAAAGAAGGCTAAACCAAAGCTATACACTTGAGGGACCATGGCTTATTCGTCGACACTTCTATCAGCTTTTCATACCACTGCTAATGCTGTAGATGAAGAGAGCAAGTCCAAAAACCTTGTAGATGATGAGAAAAACACACCCAACTTTGACCTTCATTTTCTCGACAGCCAATCGCCTAAATGACTTGCCAACCATTGTCGGTGGTGATATAGAGTCGTAGTATTTTGGTGAAAGTGCCAAAATCGCAATACAGGCTTTGACCACTTCTATTTTTGGCGCTTGCGTGGGTCACCAGACCGAAATGTGAGGAGGTTGCTGACACGGCCGGTACAGTGAATTTGATGTTTATCTCCGGGATTGATTGACAGGTAAATAATATGGTCGAAATATCCAACAATGACTAATGAAGTACTGCTGTATATCCAATTCAATGCGATAAATGATCCTCAAATGGTCACGGAGTTCCTAACCCAACAACGTATTCCACAAAGAACCTTTTACTCTCGATAAGGATGCCGTTTATTTCATTCACAAATACACTTCTTTTATACTTTTCATTTATCAAGCGGATCTATGTAATGATGATGACGAGTAAACACGTAAGCAAGTGATACAATCGATACAGTTTTCAAGGGGGCAGAATCGGGTAACCGATGAGATGATAACAAGAGAAGAAGGAAGATGTCATGGTCGTAGCATCACGTGAGCACTGATCATAATGCCTTGTTACAAGCCTTGACCCTTTAGCCAAAAAGGGTAAGTTTGACCGGAAAACCTAGTTCGCGCCGTGTCAATCTCCCCCCTTAGGTCAAACTTATTCATCTTGTATCCTCTCGATCCAAGCCTGGAATTGTTGTTCTGCTCGCCTCACTTGTATATCCGGTACCATCTTCTTGTGTTGTATGTATGGAATGAGGTGGTCTCCATTAACCGCGCCTTTCAGCTTAGTTCGATTAGGACCTGCCAATTCGTAGACCCCATGCGGAGTTGAGCGTGTGACTACCATTGGCCCAAGCCATCGAGCATGAAACTTTGATTGTGGGGTAGGATCTCGCATCAACACCTTTTCCCCGATTGCGAATCGTCTCCGAATATGTACCGTTTTATCATACAACTGCTTTTGTCGCTCCTTCTCCCTCATTGCTTTGTTCCTCGCATCGTCTCGTAATTGCACCAACAAATCGTTGATTGCAACAACTCTTTCAACTACTGCTTCAGTCTCTTCACCCAACACGAAGTCTTGTCTTGGCATTGGCCAGTTTGCTGGTGTCCTCATTTCTTTTCCATACAACAACTTGGCAGGCGTGTATCCGGTACTTTCGTTGGGCATTGTTCTTATTGCCATGAGTGCTGGCGTTACAAATTCGTCCCATTCGCCCATCTTGTCCTCGTCCAATGCCAACTTTGCTATTGTATTCACCAAGGTTTGGTTCAACCTTTCGCAACAACCATTAGTTTGGGGACGATAAGCAGTCGTCGTGAGATGTCTGCAGCCTAGGCCCTTAAGGAAGTTTACCACCATTTGCGACTTGAAGTTGGAGCCTCGGTCCGTTAATAGGTAATTGGGTACTCCATACTTCTCGACAATTTCCTCAAACATAAACTTTGCAGTCGTTTCTTCATCGATCCTAGCAACTGCTCGAGCCATCGGCCATTTTGTCAAGTAGTCCACTGCCACAAGAAGATACCGATTCCCGCTTTTGGTTACGTTCTGAGTCGGCCCAACAGCATCACAACCTATCATGTAAAAGGGTGTAGCATGGATAGGTATAGGCTTGGCGACGTGATTTCTTTTACGAGGTATCCTCTTGCGGATTTGGCATACGTGACAGCCTTGTACTAATTCCTTGACTCTTTGCTTTAGGTTTGGCGCGTTATATTGTACTCGCACACGTCGATACGTGTTACCAATCCCAAAGTGTCCTTCTTCATGCACTTGTCGAATCACTTCATCAACGTTTCCTTCATGCAACAATTCATAGCCCAGTTCTTCTTCATTATCAGCCTTGTAATACACGCGTCCAGCATACACCTCGAATCTTCTTGCTTGATCCCTTAGTCTTCTCTTGACCGTCTCGTTGGCATTTCTCGGGTACGTCCTCTTCTGCAAGTAATAGTACAATGCCAAGTACTTGGGATACTCCATGGCTAAACGAGGGTCTTGGCCGTTATTGAATGGATGATGTAGTAGATGAAACTTGGACCAGCGAACAGGTGATGGGTATACAAGGATGAGTAATTCGAACAAGGAAGAACAAGGGTAAGAAAAGATTTTCTTTGAGATATTCGATGATGATTTATTTGTTCTAATGATTGCTTCTATTTATATCTTTTCAAAATCTATTATCGATGAAATGGTGGAGTTTCTATTACAAGAGACAGTGATCGTTGATGTCATAGTCGTCTTCTTCAAGGGTACCATGCCACTCGGGTCCCGATTCGAACGTTCGATCCTCTTCTTCATAATCGGCAACCGCTACGAAATTCACGGGTGATGTAGGTAACAAACGGGATAAAGCGTCAGCGGGATTGAGTTTGCCGGGATGATGTTTAACCTCGAAATCGTACTCCATGAACATTGCAGCCCATCTTTGAAGTTTGGAAGGCTTGGTACTGTTCAAGACAAAAGATACGGCAGAGCTATCCGTTCTCAAGATAAAGGAACGACCCGAAAGGTAATGTCGAAACTTGTCCACGGCCCAACACACAGCTAACGCCTCTTGATGAACTGCCGAGTATCGTGTCTCTGGACCACGTAACACACGAGATTCATACGCGATTACTGTTTCCTTTTCGGAAGATCCATCTGGCGACTGGGACAAAATAGCTCCAACACCGAGTCCCGAAGCATCTGTTGTGAGGATCTGGACCTGTGCACGATCCGGGAATGCCAATATAGGAGGGTACGTCATGATCTCCTTGATTCCATCAAAGGCCTTTTGTTGAAGGATCCCCCACTCAAACTTGGTTTCCTTCTTCAGCAGAGTTGATATGGGTGCGAGAATGCGTGCGTATTGAGGAACGAATCGGCGGTAATATCCACTAAGGCCAAGGAATGATCGTACTTCTTCAACATTGCGTGGAGCGGGCATTTCCAGGATCTTGGATACATTTCGAGCTGTGGGAGAGAGACCTTGATCTGACACCACGTGTCCCAAATACTCGACTGACTTTTGGCCAAAGCTACACTTACTGTACTTCAAATGCAAGTTTGCCTTATCACATGCTTCGAAAACCAGACGTAAGTGTTCTTGATGTTCGCCCATGGATCTTGAGTAAATAATAATATCGTCGATGAAACAATAGACGAACTTGCCGATGAATCGCTGAAGGATGGTATTCATGGTACGTTGAAAAGTTGAGGGTGCAGATGTTAGACCAAAGCTCATGACGTTCCATGTAAAGGTACCGAAGGGACACACAAAGCCCGAACGTTCAGATGCTTCCTTTGATAGTGGAATCTGCCAATACCCACTGGCTGCGTCCAAGGTTGAGAACACGCATGCACCTCCCATGGAATCCAAAAGGTTGTCAATTTGAGGAAGTGGATACGCATCCTTGATCGTTCGCTCATTCAACTTTCGATAATCCACCACCAAGCGCAATTGGCCATCCTTTTTCTTGACAAAAAAGATTGGTGAAGTCCATTGGCCATTAGATGGTGTAATCAATCCGAGATCCAGCAAACGAGTCAACTCCTCCTGCAAGTACTTCTCCTCCTCCCAAGTAAGGCGATAGGGCCGAGAACGTATGGGTTCCATACAGCGTACAGGTAGCAAGGCTTGAATTTTTCTTCCAAAAAGAGCGGCCTTTTAATTCCA